GGACTCAAGATGTAGCTATGGGCAGAACATAAGAATGGCCGTACTGGGTCAGACCAAAGGCCCATCCAGCCCAGTATCCTGTCTACCGACAGTGGCCAATGCCAGGTGCCCCAGAGGGAGTGAACCTAACAGGTAATGATCAAGTGATCTCTCTCCTGCCATCCATCTCCACCCTCTGACAAACAGAGGCTAGGGACACCATTCCTTACCCATCCTGGCTAATAGCCATTAATGGACTTAACCTCCATGAATTTATCCAGTTCTCTTTTAAACCCTGTTATAGTCCTAGCCTTCACAACCTCCTCAGGTAAGGAGTTCCACAGGTTGACTCTGAACCGCGTGAAGAAGAACTTCCTTTTATTTGTTTTAAACCTGCTGCCCATTAATTTCATTTGGTGGCCCTTAGTTCTTGTATTATGGGAACAAGTAAACAATTTTTCCTTATTCACTTTCTCCACATCACTCATGATTTTATATACCTCTATCATATCCCCCTTAGTCTCCTCTTTTCCAGGCTGAAAAGTCCTAGCCTCTTTAATCTTGCCTCATATGGGACCCGTTCCAAACCCCTAATCATTTTAGTTGCCCTTCTCTGAACCTTTTCTAATGCCAGTATATCTTTTCTGAGGCCTCGGCTACACTTGCAAGTTACAGCACTGTAAAGCCTCCCCCAGCGCTATAACTCACTCCCCGTCCACACTGGCAGGGCACTTGCAGCGCTGTATCTCCCTGGCTACACCACTGCAGGTACTCCACCTCCCCGAGAAGCATAAGAGATACAGCGGAGTGGCTACAACTCTCCCCTGTGAGTGTGTACCAGGAATCAACCTGCAGCACTGTCCTGATCACCTTGTCAAGTGGCCAGTCCTCTCCATTGTTGTGACCGGCTGCAAGAATGCGGAAGTGCTGATTTCAAAGCTTGTACCACAGAGAAAAAGCACACAGTTTGCTGTTTGCTTTGAGAGAGTGAATGAATGAGCAGGGGGCTGGGAGTTTGGAACTTGCAAAATAGAGTGCTGACACGCTCCAGAAAGCACTCTCTCTCTCCCCCCCCACACTCCCTGTCGCATTCCACCCCCCCTCACTCCCCCGTTTTGAAAAGCACATTGCAGCCACATGAATGCCAGAATAGTTGCCCATAATGCACCGCTCCCAACACAGCTGCAAATGTTGCAAGTGTGGCCACGCCACTGCGCTGGCAGTGTGGACAGACTGCAGCGCTTTCCCTACTCAGCTGTACGAAGACAGGTTTTCCTCACAGCGCTGTACAGCTGCAGTGTAGCCAAGGCCTGAGATGAGGAGACCACATCTGTACGCAGTATTCAAGATGTGGGCGTACCATGGATTTATATAAGGGCAATAAGACATTCTCTGTCTTATTCTCTATCCCCTTTTTAATTATTCCTAACATCCTTTTTGCTTTTTTGACCACCGCTGCACATTATGTGGACGTCTTCAGAGAACTATCCACGATGACTCCAAGATCTTTTTCCTGATTAGTTGTAGCTAAATTAGCCCCCATCATATTGTATGTAAAGTTGGGGTTATTTTTCCCAAAGTGCATTACTTTACATTTATCCACATTAAATTTCATTTGCCATTTTGTTGCCCAATCACTTAGTTTTGTGAGATCTTTTTGAAGTTCTTCACAGTCTGCTTTGGTCTTAACTATCTTGAGCAGTTTAGTATCATCTGTAAACTTTGCCATCTCACTTTTTACCCCTTTCTCTAGATCATTTATGAATAAGTTGAATAGGATTGGTCCTAGGACTGACCCTTGGGGAACACCACTAGTTACCCCTCTCCATTCTGAAAATTTACCATTTATTCCTACCCTTTGTTCCCTGTCTTTTTAACCAGTTCTCAATCCATGAAAGGATCTTCCCTCTTATCCCATGACAACTTAATTTACGTAAGAGCCTTTGGTGAGGGACCTTGTCAAAGGCTTTCTGGAAATCTAAGTACACTATATCCACTGGATCCCCCTTGTCCACATGTTTGTTGACCCCGTCAAAGAACTCTAATAGATTAGTAAGACATGATTTCCCTTTACAGAAACCATGTTGACTTTTGCCCAACAATTTGTTTTTCTCTGTGTCTGACAATTTTATTCTTTATGGTTGTTTCAACTAATTTGCGGGGTACTGACGTTAGACTTACCAGTCTGTAATTGCTGGGATCACCTCTAGATCCCTTTTTAAATATTGGCTTTATATTAGCTATCGTCCAGTCATTGGGTACAGAAGCCGATTTAAAGGACAGGTTACAAACCATAGTTAGTAGTTATGCAATTTCACATTTGAGTTCTTTCAGAACTCTTGGGTGAATGCCATCTAGTCCCGGTGACTTGTTACTGTTAAGTTTATCAATTAATTCCAAAACCTCCTCTAGTGACACCTCAATCTGTGACAATTCCTCAGATTTGTCACCTGCAAAAGCCGGCTCACTTTTGGGAATCTCCCTAACATCCTCAGCCGTGAAGATTGAAGCAAAGAATTCATTTAGTTTCTTCGCAATGACTTTATCGTCTTAAAGTGCTCCTTTTGTATCTCGATTGTCCAGGGGCCCCACTTGTTGTTTAGCAGGCTTCCTGCTTCTGATTTACTTAAAAAACATTTTGTTATTACCTTTTGAGCTTTTGGCTAGCTGTTCTTCAAACTCCTTTTTGGCTTTTCTTATTACATTTTTACACTTAATTTGTCAGTGTTTATGCTCCTTTCTATTTACCTCAAAACAAGAAGCTGGAATACACATGGAATGGGTTGGATAATAATATAGCAATCATTATAATGCCATTAAATAAATCAGTGGAGCAGCCGCATATAGAATGCTCTGCACAGTACTGGTCACCCCATCTTGAAAAGGACATTACAGAACTAGAGGAGGGTTAGCAAAAGGTGACTAAAATGATTAGAGAAATGATTCAAGAGATCTTGAAAAGATTACCATTGTTTACCTTGGAAAGAAGATGAATACATGGGGACAATATGAAAGTATATTAGATTACATTAAAAATGGTTAAAAGTACATTATTAAGGTTGCAAAATCAGGCACTCAGAAGCTAGGAAATGCAAACAATGAGGTTGCCTGTGCAACTTGAATTTAGTTCCCTTGTGCGTCTTTAATTACCTGCCTCACATTCTGGGTGCAGATCCTCAGCTGGTGTAAATTGTCATGGGTTCATTGACTTCATTGGCTGAGATTCTGCTTCACCGTTTTCCCCACAGCTCCCCTGCCACATTCAGCGCACAGGAAGGATGGTGCTCACTGAATGGGCAGTTATTCACTAGTAGATTTTATCTTTATCATTCATTGTGTGGTCCCAGACCTTATTTGCTGTACGGTATTCAAACTGAGAATTCAATAAGTAACCAGGGGGAGCAATGAGAGCACTCCCTGCTCTCTTCTGGCATAACAGTGGCCCCAAATAGGAGGAAAATACCTGTTAAGGCCCTGGAGTCCTGGGCGGAAGCATGGTCAGTCACTCTGTAGAAATAGAATATTTGCAGTTTGGTTGTCAAGTTGGGACCTGTTTGGGGTTGGAGCATGCTCAGTGCAGATGTACTGCAGTGTAGTGGGTATGGAATCTTGGGAATTTAGCTGTCAAACTCTAACAAACCTCTACTGAATGTGCGAACTGAGATTTTACAGAAGTTTATAACTTGGCCAGGTTTGAGCAGGGACACCAGGTAATAAATTTCAAGTTGCTGCTCAAAGCATGGAGGCTCTAGAGCTTCTAAATGAAACTGTTTTTTATTTTTTTTTAACATTGGCCAAACAATGTATTTTTTCTGTAATCATCAGAAATGGCTAAACTGTTTCATCTGTAATTTACAAAAAATATTCAGTCTGAGGCAAATACCCATTGTGGAAAAGTTTAAGCCCAAACAGTTTAAGAACATAAGAATGGCCATACTGGGTCAGACCAAAAGTCTATCTAGCCCAGTATCCTGTCTTCCGACATTGGCCAATGCCAGGTGATTCAAAGGGAATGAACAGAACAAGTAATCATCAAGTGATCCATCCCCTGTTGCCCATTCCCACCTTCTCACAAAGTTATAAGCCACTGAAAAGAGGGTTTTATAATGGAAGTTGTTAGGCAACTGTAACTATATGTGTTGCCACCAATTCTGCCTATATTACAGAAGATAGATCAGGAATTTCCGTTTGGCCCTTCTTGTCACACAAGAAAAAGGGGACATTCAATTAAATTAAAAGGTGGAGAATTCAAAACCAATAAAAGGAAATATTTTTTCAAACACGTAATTAAACTGTGGAACTTGAAGTCATTGAGACTAAAAACGTAGCAAGATTCAAAGGGGTTTGGATATTTATCTGGATGACAAGAATACCCAGAGTTATAATAATTAATGCTAACAAATTTTGGAAGAGGTATTAAACCTCAAGTTTTGGGGTTAAACTAGTCTCTAACTATAAGGGATTAGGAGGCCACCCAATGTGTTGGCAGATTAGGCAGAAGTAGGATAATGCAAGGGTTCTTGCACTTTCCTCTGAAGCAGCTGGTGCTGGGCACTGGTTGAAGACAGGATACTAGGCAACTTGGGTAATCTGTCTGATCCAATATGGTGATTCTTATGTTGGTTTTTAAAAAGTCTCAGGGTTGGAATGTTAAAATAAAGTCTAGAAGATGGCTAGGGGAGGGAATACCTGTCATAGATGTATGATAAATTGCACAGGTATGTGATAAACTTATCACTGGATAGTCTCTCTCTCCTGATGATGTGCACTTGGATTTATTTCTGCCGTCATACTAATAAATAGTATTTTCCCTGTTATTTACAGATGTAGGTAATATTTCTAAATATTGTATGAAAAACTGCTTTTATCTTTGACTCCTGTGTCTTGAAAATCAATACTGTGTCCCATAAACACTCTAATTTTTGCTACACTAGATATTTTTAGGGGGTGGAGGGCATGTTGGTCCCTGTAAATTTGCTATGGGATTACAGTTGGATCTCTTTTCTGTTTCTACATTTCAGGTGCCTTATCAGGTGCTAGAGAAAGCTGGGAATATGATTCTGGTGCAAGAGACCTTCAGAGTCCTGACCTGCAGTGCCATTCTACCCTACAGAAGCTCTTGGAGTATGGAGGCAGCAGTATAGGTCAACAAGCTGCTCTGCAGAAACTGCTAACGCAGGCCTCCAATCTTAGCAACTCAGTTGGAGGAAGCTATTTAGAGCTTGCCAACACTGTAAGTACACTTTATCTTCACTGTAAAGCTCTTCAGGGTTTTTTCCCCCCCAGCTCGACTATATTAAACTTTTGAGTCATGGTCCACGAGGGAACTATCAAGCTGCTGTAATTTTCATTTACCACAATGTCATAAAATTTTCAGCTTTGCAAATAATGAGAAGTATTTAGAAATGACTCGTATAATTGAGGACTTGCTTTCAGCAAAAAGGATTTGGTGGACTCCATAAGGCATTTAGCTGAAGTTTTTAACTTATACAGATTTAATTATAAAACATAGCCAGCTTGTGAAAACATTTACTTATGGAAAATAAATTGGTAGCACAGTGGCAGACTGTGCAAGTAAACATCTTTCTGCTCATTAAGTCAGTTAGTGTCATGCAGGAACACACTTACCCCTTATATTTCAGGATTTTCCACTTTATTTGCTAAGATTTCTGTTTGGAACTCTTTGTGTAGCACTGTGTTTTACTGTTCTCATAGGCAAGCCTCATAGTAAAAGTATTTTCAGATAAACATACCACATTATTCTCTGCAGTAAAAATCTGATGTGTTTAAGTGAGTGGTTTTTTTTCAATTATGCATTGGATTCAGGTTTTTAAGGGTACATCTCCACTGCAATTAGACACCAGCGACTGGCCTGTACCAGCTGACCTTGGGACCCTTGCAAGGTCCTAGAGCCCGGGCTCCATCCTGAGCCAAATGTCTACACCAGCGCCCCTTAGCCCGAGCCCTGCAAACTCAAGGCAGCGGTCACAGGCTAGCTACAAGTTTTTAATTGCAGTGTAGACATACTCTAGGTAAGTGCGTTAGGTAAGATCGGGTGTGCTATAAATTTATAGCCATTTTCTAGCTCATTTTTGGTGGTCAAAGGTTGATGCTGCTAAACTGAAAAGAGAGAGCAAGGACTCAGGCTTTTAGTTGGAGAACCAAAAGGCCCAAACTAAAGGCTTGGAGAAAAGTTGAGGAACCCATTTTAGAATGGCTGCTTGTGACAGTAACTAGCTTTGTACTGGTGAAACAGATCCTGTTAGTTAATGCTTACTGGGTGTTGAGGGGTGGGCACTCAGAAGAAAATGGAAATTTATTCAACTGATATGGATAAAATCAACACAACACTGTGATGGGTTCTCTGGGGTTCAACCTGGAATTTGGGTACCGCTGTGACCTCTGTCTTACCAACCTGAGCTTCCTCTCACACTGTGATAATGTGACAAGCTGCAAACCCCTTCAGGTCCTGCACTCACACAAATATTCACAGGCAGGGACACACCCAGCTCTGTTACATGAATGCTTTTGCCAGCCACTCATGAACCAACAATAGAGAGACTCTAGCCAACTCTCCCCAGCCTAGGACCCCAGAGCTGTACCATCTTGCCCTAGTCAGAAGCCTGACCAGCGTAAATTATTTACCCAGTCCAGCCCTCCCTCAATGTGGAGAGGACAATGCAGCAGATCTGGTCTCTGAGCAGATTTCCCTTTACACTTCAAACAAAAATCCTTTCCGGTCTGGGACCACCTCCCCAGTCCAAGTCTTTGTTCCTGAGGTGTTTCCAGGTGTTGAGTTGTGGGGGGAGTGAGGCTAAGTGATGATGTCACTTCCCCCTTTTATAGCTTCTGGCATGTGGAGGGAACTTCATTATCCCAAACAAAGCCCCCAGCGCAGTTAGCGGAAAAGTACAGGCACAGGATTGAATTCAGTGCCACATGAGCTGGTCACATGCCTTGCATGCTTCGATGAGTCATAGCAGGGGCTATTCCCCATATTCTGGCTAGAACGTCTACAGGACAGTCCATCAAGTGGGGATAAGCTTCTTCCATGGCCCATTGTGTTCGTTACTGGGCCATCAACTTCAATAGTTCATTCACAATGTACTGGCTAGACTGGATATAAACTACCTTGTGGGAGTTACCACAGGAGCAAACACATTTGAAATACAGGTACATAGCCAATATTCACAGTTTCAGATACAAAAATGATACATGCATACAAATAGGATAATCATATGCAGCAAACCATAACTTTTCCATTGACACCGTACTTGTCATATTTTGTACAAGATGCATCATAATTAAGGCTGCGAGTCTGTCACGGAGGTCACGGAGTCTGTGACTTTCCGGGACCTCTGTGATTTCTGCAGCTGGCCGGTGCAACTGACCTCAGGGCCCCCAAGCAGCTCGGGAGGTGTTCCCGGGCCTCCCTTCCATCCTGAGCACCAGTGGGTGACCGAGAGTCCCCCCCTCCAGAGCAGCAGCTGCACCCCCCGGTGCCCCCCAAAGCACCCATGATTTAGTCAGTGGTATATAGTACAAGTCATGGACAGGTCACAGGGCCATGAATTTTTGTTTATTGCCCATGACCTGTCCATGACTTTTACTAAAAATACACATGACTAAATCTTAGCCTTAATCATAATTATATCACCATGGTTAATGTGGGGGTGCCAGGGTGTTGCCTTGGGGTACAGAGTGTCACAGACACCCACACAATAATTTTATGCACTGTTTTAAAGTTTGGTTTGTATCTCCCTAACACCCTATAGAGTCAGTTTTGCATCATTCGTCTTTTATTAACATAGTTCAACTATGCCTTAAAGAAAAATGAGTAAACAAATAATATATCCCAGTATTCTTACTATATAGAGAAAATATCTGCCTATCTGTTTTCCAGTGGAACTTGTGACGGGTTATGCCCCATAGGAAGTCACCTGTATCCTGATGTATCCTGAGATACCACTGAAGTCTACCTGTTCTGCCAGCATGGGCCCCCTTTACCTGGCCTTGCTGGGTTAGGCTCACAAGCCTCTTCCAGCCAAGCACACAGGCAGGGCCACACCCAACTGCAGATCAACTCTGGGAAGACTCAGCTTAAGGGACTTGCTCCAGCACTCTGGTGCTCACTCCTTTTAAGGGGTACAAACCCAAAGTTTTTATGAAATTTCCCTCCTCCCTCAATGTGGAGGAAGGTATGCACAGCTTTCTCTCCTCCCCCCACCCTCCCCCACCCCGTTAGAAATTACAGAAACTGGGTTATACAGATGCTCCCTGACTAACGCAAGGGTTCCGGAACGCCTTGCGTAACTCGAATATTGTGCAAGTCGGAAATGTATCTCTGACCGTTACGCAAAAAAATAAAAATAAAAATAAAACCCTCCTATTTCTAGCTTACGGAACTTTTTCCATAAGCTCGGATTTGCGTACGTCGGGTTTACGTAACTCAGGGAGCGTCTGTATTATAAACAAAACAAATTTTATTAACTGTCTCCAGGGTCCAGAGGAAGACTAAGCTCTTTCACAATCCATTGTCTCTGCTGATGGCCCATTAGCCCTGTCTGGCTTTTCCATTGTTGTATCTGAAGCGCTGGTTGGGGTGACACCCAAAGTAACACATTTGAAATACAGACACATAGCTAATATTCCTAACTTCAGATACAGAAATGATACAGGCATACAAATTGGATAATTATGTTCAGTAAATCATAACCTTTCCAATGATATCTTACATGAGCCATCTTGCATAAAGTACATCTCAGTTATGTCATATTCCTATCATAAGCATATTTTCATAAGGAATATGGAATGTAATGTCACAGAGCTTATTTCCATTAAGCTAATTTTTTAGCATACTATAGTTTTTGTTTATTTTTGTGAGTAGTGTCAACTCACTAACATTGTGTATTCTACATATTACCCTTTTCCCCCATCTGATCATGAGCAGCTGCGGTTCCTGGAATCAGCCTTCCCACCAGCAAAATAAAACTCTGTAGTTATTAAAAGAAAAGCTACAAACAAAAACTAAATATTTGTTACTTGCCTCTCAAAACAAATCATCAGAAACTATGCTTAAAGTCTCCGCACATTCTGATGGCTATTGCCATTATCCATTGCAAATTTGAGAGTTTGAAAGAAGATCATTAACAATATACACATGCCCAGTCGATTATATGAATTCCATAGCTGTTGAATGATAGTGGTTAAATGTTAGGAGTTTGGAAACAGCAGAGCTTCCAATCTCCAGTTCTGATTTTGGTCCTGCCATGAGGGCAGGGGACTGAACTCAATGACCTCTCGAGGTCCCTTCCAGTTCTAGAATCTATGAATCACTTTGAAAAATGTACAGTATATGCTACTAGATACTTAAACATAGCATTTGAGGAGCCAGCTGATTTCCCCCCACACACCCTCTACCCCAGTCGTGTTGTTATAAGAGTGGCTGGTATAATTCTTTGTTTAGTTTGGGAGCGTTGTGTTGTTGTGCCAGTATTGGACGTGATAGTTTTGCTCTTAGAACCTGTGGGCTCTGATGGACAATGTAGGCGATTGTGTTCAGGTTTGAAGGTGGGTGTCTGCTAAACTGCTCTCCTTATACCTTCTGGCTGATTTCCAGATTGCTGAATGATGGTAGCTTGGCAGTGACCAGTCTTGTCAGTCTGAGATAATACTACAGGGTAGTGACCTCCTGTGTGCTTGAGGATTTGGAGGAACAGGTGTTGCCCCAGAATATAAAATGGTAGTGCTCTTGCCCTGTCTTGACAAATAGAAAACTAACTACATACAACCCCCAAATCCCAATAACTGAAATAAGACTAGAATAAAATTAAAAATCCCTAGATATTATAGTACTCTTTTTTAAAGTATATATAATATGCAACTGGTTCCTGTTTGTGTGTTCACATTCATGTTAAATTTCTCTATTTTTATTGGTATGGAAGCCATCTGATCTGTTTAATGTATATCATGTTATGCCTCTGCTTCTAAATGTTTTTTCCCTGGTACTTCAAACGATAGCATAATAAACAGTCTCTCATTTATACGGAGATGAAGACAATAATGCCTCCATTTTGGCTTCTGCTGAACATTAATATCACTATGTTGTATGAAAAATTTTACTTAAATTTTGTTAAAATCAAGAAAGATGAGAATCGCTGCTTTTTGTGTGTGGTTCCATCCTTTTATACTAGTCTGAATACTGTCAAGAAAGCTGAAGTGATGGGTATAGTGTAATCTAAACTAAGAGCTTGTCTGAACAAACACTTAATGCATGGCAAGCTAGGTTGTAAATCTACCTCGCACTAGCCTGCAAGGCACTAAGAGCTTGACTATATTAAAAATGCTAAAGCGGCTGTAGCACTTCAGTGTAGACACTACCTACAGCTGCAGGAGGGGTTAACCCATCAGTGTAGGTAATACATTTCCCTGAGAGGCGGTAGCTAGGTTGACAGAAGTTTTCTGACTAAGGCCAGCTTAACTACACTGCTTATGGCTGTGGATTTTTCACATCCCTGAGCGATGTAGTTATGCGGACTTAATTTTTAGTGTAGACCACACCTTAGGTTCCTCGTGGACTGTGCTGTTGCACGCTAAAAGTTTTCTAGTGTGTTTTCACCTACCCATATTTGAAACGGGAGGAGGTCAGTGTGCGCTAAGGATTTAGTGCGCAACAGCAGGCTCCACGTGGACAATTAGTGTGTGGCAGGCTGTTGCACTGTAGATTCACACCCCAGTTTGCTTCTTAGACAAGCCCTAACTCTGTATAGAGACAGAAGTAGCTTCTTGTCATTTATTCCTTATGTGCACTCCCACTTCCCACACCCATACAGTCTCTCTCCAGAAAGTTGTTTTACATCATTGCGTTTATAACGGTTGTGCTGGGCTAGTTTCACTTCTGTCCCATCTCTAGGTCTCTCTGAGTGTACCCACATGGGTGACAAGCCTCAAGTTTTCACCCTTCTCTCAGTGTAAAAACATACAATTCTCCCACTTTTAGGTAAGCACCTGGATTACAGACCCTTGTGTGCCAACCGTGATTACTTCAACAGGCCCAGCTTAGGTTCAAAACCCGCAGTTCTGCCCTTTGGGAACTGTGACCTATGGTGTATATATAGAGTGACCGTACGGCCTTTTCAAAACAAGATATTGTTTATTCTTAACAGTAGGAACACTGCATACATCAAAGAGAACAAGGATTTTGAAAGAATCAATCTGTATGCAGGCATATCCGCCTAGAACCCCCCTGATGTTAGCCAGGTAGGCTCAACTTCTAAGTTGAGACTGCTTCTGAAGAGGCTCTCTGTGTCAGCCTATTCCCCTGTATATCTCCTCACTATTGCCCCTCCCCTCCTCTCAGTGACTTTTTAACTGTTTAGTGTTTTTTTAATCTTAGGTTCCCAGCCTTGGCAAGACAAGTCTTGTAATTTTGCTGGAGCCAAGACAGGTAGGCTCTTCCAACTTAATAGCCCAGTCATTGTTCTCTTAAAGACCTTGAAATGTGCCCCCCCCCCATGGGAGTCTTATCTCTAGTCATTATTTTATATCCTGCTTATTTTTCCTAACAGCGCCTTTTGAGTAAATTCCTCAGACAGAAAATGTCCCTTCCGGCTATTGGACGCTCATATGGCATACATAGCATTCCTAAATTAATTCAGAGCAACCCCATGTCCTTCACAACATTGAAACAAAGGTTTTCAGTGATGTAAAAGCTAAACGGGCAGCAGTCCTTTGCCCAAATTTTAACTGTTTCTACAAAGTAGAAAAATCCATATACATTTTAAAAACCATGTGAATATACAACTCTGCAGAGCTTTGTGAAGATATGCTGTTGTGCAGCACACTGTCTCTTATTTATCTCTGTTACTTTTGTCCCTGGGTGCGGTGGAAATTGATTTATCCCAGTGTGTAAAAGTATCTCAGCAAACAACTTGAACCTATTGTTAGAGTTATGGAGTTTTAATTTCTTTAAAGAATGCATCATTTTTTCTAAGTGGAAATTGTCTGTATGTAAGGTGAGGACAATCCTTTAGTTAGAGGCAGATTATTCTGGTCACTCACAGGGAATGATTTGATTAAACAGTCTTATATCCAACAACAGTTACTGACTACTCGCTCCAGAATATGTGTCTTTATCTGTTTTGCCTTGATTTATTAACACCTTCATATTTAGCTCTTTGTTTCCAGAGACACTCTTCTGTAATTTTATAGGGACAAATCTTGTGGCATTTTCCCCCTGTTCCATCACTAGGTCTAATATTGACAGCACACTTTTCTTGACCCTCTTCACCTGGTTGCTAAAATTTCTGTCTAACACATTGATCTTTTGGTTGACACCATCACCCTTTACTGTTGATGTACCTGCTAATGCCAATGGGTTAAATACTGCTATAAATGTTGTATACAGAAGCCATTATATATGTCCTAAATCTAATAATTGGCAAGTTTTTTAAACTGTACTTGGGTGTAAAGAATATACATTTCCTCTTTGCAGATAACAAAAGATTCCAGCTTTGTCAGGAATTTGGTGTATATATTTCATTTCATTTTAAGCATCAGAGTCAGACCACGGTTACAAGTGTGTGTATTCATACTTGACTAGTGAAAAAGCTAATTGATTTATGTGCAGCCACCTGTGCTCCCTCTTCAAGAAGCTATTTATGGGGATCCAAACAGTCTTGGTTCTCCTTCAGTTTCTCCTTCCTGGTACAACTAACAGAGGTGCTAGGAGTTGAGTGTCCGTGCCTCTTCCTCTGCAAACCACACATGGCAACAGATATGATATGCAGCCTTTTCACTGGAATTCTAGAGCTTGAGATGAAGCAATGGGATTTGGATCAATGTGATCCTCTTTACCTTATTTCCCTCCACAAGTGAGTACCATGGAATAAGACTAAATGATGCATTATTTTAAGTAAATTTCATGTGTTTCTATATAGGGCCTTATTTTCAAAGATAGCATCTTGGTATGCACATATATGCACTTTTTGGCCACAAACACCTATGTGCTCACTTTTTTCATCTCTCTCATCTCATGCATAATCGATAAGACTGTAGAGTACATTTATGAGAAGAATGATAGAATTTACACACACAAAATTCATTTGGATAATACTCTTATTTCTGTATTCTATCATGTGCACACAAATGTCAATGTTCAAAAAGCACGTGTACACAGACTACATTTTGAAAATTTGGCCTATAAATACATTTTTAAACTGTCCGCTTTCTAAGCTGGTGATGACCAGTGACCCTTTTACCCTCCCAGGTAAACAGACACTACCTAAAGTCGTGATCTATTTTACATGGTGTTTTCCCTTCCCAAAGGCTCTTCAGATGTATTACAAATTGACCCAAAAGCTTTAAACTTAGGTGCACTCCAGCTGCCACTAAAATACATCCACCTCTGTGGTGAAATTGCAACTGTTTAACAAGAACGCTAACAACAGATTAGGAGAGGAAATTAAAAATGTATTTTTCTATTAAACATCTGATGGAGAAATTTAGGTAGCTAGGATGTAGTTACCAGAGTTAGAGGTTAACATGGGCACCAGAACTTCATACTGATCACTCCAAAAAGCACACTGGTATATTTCATGACCACTTGCAATCAGGACCCTGTGTTTACATCTGATCTCAAAGACAACAACTCCAACATACAGTATTGCCCGACTCCATACGGGGTATTTAGTTCTTTACGACCTCAGAGAGGAGTGTACTATCTATTGAATAACCAGCGTCACTTTATACAGCATTCTTTGGAGATCGCCCAGCCAGAGCAATAGCTGAACACTACAGAGAAAAGTTGGGTTTTACAGTTTACAGAAGCCAACAGATAAGAACTTGGTTTGCTTTTTGACTGGTAAAATAGTAACTTCTTAGGAAGTATTATAGCATACACCCTTCTAAAAGATGCACTTTGTGTGATATTCTCTTCTTAGACCCACACAATAGACCCCCCGCCACCATGAAGGCAACGGCAAAAAAATCATTTCTCGCCTTTTTTCCTGGGTTAACCGTGCAGACGACATATCACGGCAAGCATGGAGCCCGCTCAGCTCACTGTCACCATATGTCTCCTGGGTGCTGCTGGCAGACACGGTACTGCAGTGCTATGCAGCAGCATCCCCTTGCCTTGCCTTGTGAATGGCAGGCAGCACAATACGACTGCTAACCGTCGTCATTGTCCCATGGGAGCTCCTGGCCGACCTCGGTTAGGTTGGTCGGGGGTGCCTGGGCAGACATGGGAGATCCTGGCCAGCCTTGGTGAGGTTGGTCGGGGGTGCCTGGACAAAAATAGGAATGACTCCAGGTCATTCTCTTTTTTAAGTTTCGTCTAATGGAGATTCAGTCCTGCCTGGAATATCATGCCAGCTGGAGGTTTCTGTCTCAGGCTGCTCTCCCAGTCAACAGCACCGCGCAGTCGCACCTACCCCAGCCTACCCCTTGCTCCCATGGCTCATGAAGCCTGGACAATAGTAAGGAGCAGTTCAACTGTAAGCTGAGCAAGTGCATAATGGTGGTAGAATGTGCCTTTGGACGTTTAAATGCGCGCTGGTGCAGTTTACTGACTCGGTTAGACCTCAGCGAAACCAATATTCCCATCGTTATTACTGCTTGCTGTGTGCTCCACAATATCTGTGAGAGTAAGGGGGAGACATTTATGGTGGGGTGGGAGGTTGAGGCAAATCGCCTGGCTGCTGATTACGCGCAGCCAGACACCAGGGCGGTTAGAAGAGCGCAGCAGGGCGCACTGTGCATCAGAGAAGCTTTGAAAAACAGTTTCATGAATGTTTCTCCTGTTTGTTTCTCCTTGATGAAAACCCGTCCCCTTGGTTCACTCTGCTTCCCTGTAAGCCAACCGCCCTCCCCTCTCCCCTTTGATCTCCGCTTGCGGAGGCAATAAAGTAATTGTTGTTTCGAATTCATGCATTCTTTATTAATTCGTCACACAGATGGGGGAGGATAACTGCCAAGGTAGCCCGGGAGGGGTGGGGGAGGAGGGAAGCACAGGTGCGGGGTAGTTGTAGGGGCACCCCCTAGAATGGCATGCAGCTCATCATAAAAGCGGCATGTCTGGGGCTCTGACCCAGAGTGGCCGTTTGTGTCTCTGGTTCTTTGGTCGGCTTGCCTGAGCTCCTTAAGTTTCACGCGGCACTGCTGCGCGTCCCTGTTATAACCTCTGTCCTTCATGCCCTTGAAGATTTTTTTCAAATATTCCGGCATTTCGTCTATTGGAATGGAGTTTGGATAGCACGGCTTCGTCTCCTCATACAGCGATCAGATCCAGTACCTCCCATTCGGTCCATGCTGGAGCTCTTTTGTGATTCTGGAACTCCATGCTCACCTGTGCTGATGAGCTCTGCTAGGTCACCAGTGCTGATGAGCTCGCCACGCTGGCCAAACAGGAAATGAAATTCAAAAGTTTGCGGGGCTTTTCCTGTCTACCTGGCCAGTGCATCAGAGTTGAGAGTGTTGTCCAGAGCAGTCACAATGGAGCACTCTGGGATAGCTCCTGGAGGCCAATACCGTCGAATTGCGTCCATACTACCCCAAATTCGACCCAGCAAGGTCAATTTCAGCGCTAATCCCCTCGTCGGGGAGGAGTACCGAAATTGATTTTAAGAGCCCTTTAAGTTGACAAAAATGGCTTCGTTGTGTGGATGGGTGCAGGGTTAAATCGATCTAATGCTGCTAAATTTGACTTCAACTCGTTGTGTAGATCAGGGCTAAGTCATAAGTGGATTTTTCCTTTCCCACCTTGAAAACGTGCCCCTTTATCAAATCCAGATTGTAATTGCTCATTGTAGTGTGTTCCACGTATATAAATAGATTATCTACATAATAACAAATTCAAGATTATCACTGAGGATTTAATTTATTTTAGACTGCAATGCAGTGGATTCTGGCTGGCTGCCCAAAACAGCATTAATGGGCTCTTTACACTGAATAATGGGTAACCATTTTCCTACTATGGCATATATATAACTATAAATTAAGTAATGAATGGTCAACCCTTACAGTGAGTATTGCTTTTAATATAGAAAACGGGGCTATAGTATAAAATCTGCAAGATCTTAATATTGCAGAACTTCTTTATTACTTTAAAACAGTGCACTGCAGGCCTTCTCGGTCTTGGGTTTTTACTCACACATCATATGCTATATTGGAAGTAAAGTGCTGGATATGACCCATCTGTTTTTCCCTCTGCACCATGAGAGTCTACCATACTCAAAAATATACTGTTTCTCTACCTACTTCCCATCTCCCTTTTCCCTATCATTGTAAGACACCCAGCATATATGCCTGATTTAGTTCTCCAAATGACTGGTAGGGGGCATGCTTATGTAATTTATTATAATAGTATTTCCTACCTCTCCATATCTAATCAATGAACAATTGAATGCCATAGTCTGTCCTATGAAACTGGGCCCCCAAAAGAGCACT